AATAATACTATTACTAATATATTCTATAGAGAATACTATTAGGTAGAGCTTTATTTATAAAATATTTATTACTCTTATAGAGTTTAAGCTTATATTATCTTAAGTTAAAAATAATACTCAAAATAGAGAGTTTATAAAACTCTATCTAACTAGTTAAGAATATATCGCTATAAACGACTTAATATCTATATTAGAGGTTTTTATTAGACTTTCTATTAGACTATAATCTCAGCTTTATATTAATCTTAATAAAAATAAGTTATGTTATATTTAATAATATTATATATATTAATATTAATACTTAATAATAAGCTTAATATATATATATAGAATATATAAAAGGCTGCCTATATTATACTTTAAGTTTAGTAACTTTAGAGTAGTTGTTCTATAATTAATAAGTATTAAGTTTATTATCAAATATTATATTATATATTAATATTAATATAAAATAAGCTACTTATCATAAAATATTTGCTAAAAATATAGAAAAAAGGTTTAAAATGTTCTACATTTACTAGCCCAAAAGCCTTAATTAATTTGAATTTTATAAGTCTAAAAACTACATATTAAGCTATATATTAGATCCTAGATTTAAATTACACTATTTTAATTGCAATAAGGTTTTCCACCACTATAATATTATAATAGAAGATATTAAGAAAATAATTAAATAAATATAATAAATAGGTGTTTTTTAATATATAATATATTTATTATATACTAATATATATATCTATATATATATATAGAATTAAAAAAGAATATAACACCTATTTTCCTTTAGAAAATTAAGAAAATAATAATTTACTTACTGAAGTTAATTTAGAGGATATGTTATATATTAATAGAGCTTCTTCTTAAGAAAAATAGATTATTAATCTAAATGAAAAACTAGTTATTAAATTTATAAGTTTTTTTAAATTTTATATTATATTATATAATATTATAATATATTATATCAATATATTATATATAGGATAATATTTTATCTTATTAGAAGCGTTATTAAATAAATCTTTCTATTTTATATATATTAGCTAGAAAGTATCTAGCTGTTTCTAATATTTCTACTCTAGTAAAGAGGGTTTTCTCAGTTATAAGTAACATTATTAGTAAAAACTATAATAAGCTTTAACTTACTATAGTTAAGTAGATAATATTATTAAAATACTAAGGTATTAACTTTTTAACTAAGTTAGAAAGTATATATCTTAATAGAGAAGAAAAGAAAAAGAAGAGGAGTAATTATTTTATATATATTTTTAAATATATTTTTTAGTCTTATTTTAGTATAATTCTTACCATTTTATTCAATATCATTTATTATTATTATTATTTAACTTAAGTTAAAAGCTAACTTTTAAGTACCCCTAAATAATTTAGTTAATTAATATAGTTAACAGGCTAGTTAATATTAATAACCTAAGTTAAAAGCTAACTTTTAAATACCCCTAAGTAATTTAGTTAATTAACGTAGTTAAAAAGTTAGTTAATATTAATAGTTTAAATTAAAAGTTATATATTACTAGCTATTTATATATAATATAATATCGTACATAGTATTACTTCAAAATATACTAAATTTAAGCTAATATATATAAAAATAATATTATATACTTTACTTATATACATAAATTAGTTAAAGCTTTAATAACTTTTCTATTATTGTTATTTATTTTTATTTTTTAATTTAGTATTTTTCTTATACTAAACTATGTCAAACTAAACTAATAATTGCTAAAAGAATTCTATACTAAAGTAATGCTGACTAGGCCGACCTCATACTAAACTATATCAAACTAAACTAATAATTGCTAAAAGAATTCTATACTAAAGTAATGCTAACTAGGCCGACCTCATACTAAACTAATACTAACTAACTGACCCCCATACTAAACTAAACTAAACTAATTACCCACCCTGGCCGCAGGGGCCACGGGGGGGCCCTGGGAGGTGAAGCTTAAGCCTAAAAATTAGCGGAAGGTACAAGGGGGGACGGGTGGGCAGCCGGCCGGCGCCAAAACAGCTCCGTCATTGAATCTAAATCATTCCACGCGCCAACACCTGAGACTGTTATTTCCTCTGCGACCAATTTCTTTTCTCTGCTAGCTGTTTACTTACCTCCCATTGCTTCCATCATCGTCGTCCTCGTCTCGTCAGCTCCAGCATCGCATACCTCAATACACAACAGCGAAGACAGCAACGACAGGCGCGGTCCCATCGCCAATCGTCCATCGGGACCAATGTCGCAACCGTACGGCGAGTCAGCTGGCTACTACGGTGGCCAGCAGCAGCAGCAGCAGCCCTACGATCCCAAATACGCGCAGCAGTACAACAATGGATACCAGAACAACGGCTACCAACAACCTCACCCGCCGCCGCAGCAGCAGTTCGCATACGACGGGGGTAATGGATATAATGGCAGCAATGGCTACGGGTACAATGCGCCGCCGCAGGGCTACGACCCGGAGAAGTACACCTTCGAGGAGGCCTTCAAGGTTGAGAAGCCCAAATGGAATGATCTTTGGGCCGCTATTTTGGTAAGCTGGGATATGGTCACCTCATCGCCCTTCGCCTTCGCCCTTCCTGTCATTCGTTCCCGTACTTCAATACTGACCGTCTGTAGTTCTGGCTCGTTTTCCTCGGGTTTGCGGCAGTCTCAGGCCTCACCATCTCTGGCTACAGCGAGACCAAGTCGCTGAATGGCGGCGGCATCTACGACGGCGGCAACACGTTCGGCCTCTCCACTAACACGATTGTCCTCTTCGCCTTCTGCCTCGCCGTCGCCGTCGTCCTGAGCTACGGCTACGTATGGCTTGCCCGCCTTTTCCCCAAGGCCTTCATCTGGGTCACGGGCATTCTGAACATCGTCTTCGCCTTCGTCACCGCCATCTACATGCTCTCCAGGAAGTACTACTCCGGCGGTATCGTCTTCCTCATCTTCGGCGTGTTCTTGGTCATCGCCTTCATCAGCTGGATCCCGCGCATCCCCTTCTCGGCGCTGATGCTCAAGACCTCGATCCAGGTCTCCAAGAAGTATGGCCACGTCTACCTCGTGTCGTTCCTGGGCGGTATGCTCGGCGCCGCGTTTGCTGCGTGGTACTCTGTGACGCTGGTCGCGACGTACTCCAAGTACCAACCGTCCGCGAACAACCCGCAGTGTATGAACGGCCAATGTAGCCAAGGAAAAGTGATTGGCATACTCGTCTTCATCACGTTTGCGATGTACTGGATCTCCGAAGTCCTCAAGAACGTCATCCACGTCACCATCTCGGGTGTCTACGGCTCCTGGTACTTCTGCGTCAACAACTTCCCCAAGGGCGCCACCCGTGGAGCCCTCAAGCGGTCTCTGACCTACAGTTTCGGCTCCATCAGCTTCGGCAGCTTGATTGTCGCCATCATCAACTTTTTGCGCCACCTTTGCTCTGTTGCGAGGTCCCAGGCTGCTGGAGACGGTAACATTGTAGGATACATCCTGTTCTGCATCCTCGGGTGCCTGATCTCCATCCTGGATTGGGCCGTCTCGTTCCTGAACAGATATGCCTTCTCGCATATTGCCTTGTACGGTAAGGCTTATATCCCCGCCGCGAAGGATACGTGGAAGATGATCAAGGACCGTGGCATTGACGCTCTGGTCAATGTGAGTAGTTGCCCCTGTTGTAAATTAGCAAAGCCCTCGTACTAACAGGTTTAGGAATGCCTCATCGGCCCGGTTCTCTCCTTCGGCGCCGTCTTCATCGGCTATGCGTGCGCTTTACTCGCGTACCTCTACATGGTCTTTACACACCCAGCATACAATTCGACTGGTGCATACACCCCTGTGGTGGTGGCGTTCGCTTTCCTCATCGGCATGCAGATTGCCAACGTCTTCACGACTCCCATCTCCAGCGGCATCGACACCATCTTCGTCGCAGCAGCCTGGGACCCTCAGGTCATGATGAGAGATCACCCGCAGTTGTACGATGAGATGGTCAGGGTCTATCCGGAGGTCCAGCAGGCTATTCACGCCTGATTGACTGCGAAGATGGATATAATGCAGCTTTCCAACTGGTTAGATCGAATCATTGAAGCCGCAGAATGAATGGGACGGCATGTTTAAGGCAAGGGCCGGGGCGCATGGGGATACCCAACTTTGAATTCAATTTGCTACACTGTAATGGCTACACTGTAATGGAATAACGGTTTAATCATGCAATGCTTTCCACCTGCGTGCGTGACACGGGTTGCGTGTATAGAACTTACGTGGAAGTCGGTTAAGGCAGATGCTCTGAGGGCCAGCTGATACTGCTATACCTCTGCCAGTGAGTCCCAGCAGGCGGGCCCCAGTACGGTAACGCTGCCGTCAACGGCCCGTCCCTAGCGAGTACTCAGAGTTTGGTGGCCAAAAGCTGAATTAGTAGAACCGCTCAGATCTTGCATCGTTTTATGAAATCGTATTCTTTGCTGCGAGTAAACTCTTCCACGGCTTTCACTGCTTGGCATCTGCGAGAGTTACGATGGTGGTGCTGTGGCCTCACCTTTGAACTGGCTCATTCAAGGGCACCAACGTCGATAGTCTCAGATTACTAGCGCAAAATCTACGTGCGTAATACGAGTTCCCCAGATTGCACACAACCTTCGCGTTGACCACACTTGGGTCAGGGTACAATATCTATTCCACCTGCTGCTGGTGTTGTGTTGTGGCGCTTCAGCTGACCTGAGACCTCGGACTGGCAACACTAAGATGAGCGATTCGGACAAGCGACTGGCTGCTGAGTATCCTTTCTCATCATGATCCTTTCGCTTCTGGACCACGGCAGTACGTTTGAAGCCTCCTGCTTTCCGAATTCCTCCCCATCGAGCTTGGCGAACAGTCTGGAATAAACCGTCGATCTCTCGGAGTAGGTCCTAGCTAGCTGTACCCCGTACACTTATGGGATATTGTCGTTTAGCGGTGCATGGAATATGGCTCCCTTTTGGTTCATGTCGGCAGCCTGCCTCTCGAGCGGTATGGCAGAATGCGGGGCATGGGGTTCGGAATTCCCAGCTGGGTGTCACAACTGGTCTGTCAGACACCAACGTCGAATATGAGGCTGATCATTGACAAATCCTTGCAGATCCTACGATCAAATTGGCGTGCTGGTGCAGTCAATATCACAATTGGGAGCGGCCGAGAGGCAGGCTGGAAGCAGGCTGCGGCTTGGCTGTTGGGGGCCGTCAGCAGAACGGCTTGGCTCAGGACTCAGCTGCGCAGAAATAGACTCCCGTTGGTTGGCGATGACATGGAGAGAGAAAGCAGAGAGTAGACCTAGTAGCCTATTGTTCCACTTTTGTCTGGGATTCCTCGCCGTCTCCCGACTTCTTTCACGTCTACTTTCTTTCTACCCACCGAACAAAGCTCAGACGTTGAATCGCCGTTAGAGCGTAGTCGACAGGTCGAATTGTCTCCTTCAAGCTTGTTGCAACTGGTATCACGAATACGATGCTGAAGACGATATTCGGTACTGTTCTTATCGCGTCGACCTCCTTGGTCTCCGGGCACAAGAACTGGAACCAGTGTTACTACGACAAAGACGCCGTCGCTCTTCCTGAGCTCCTGCCATGCCAAAACGAGACGGACGTCGATCCAAATGACTACACCTGGTGCTGCTTTGCCGGCCATAATTGCTTGGACCACAACAGCTGCTGGGACCCAGACACAACCAACACATACCAGTATGGCTGTAACGACGAAACGTATTCTCATCCGAGCTGCCCGCCCAAAGGTGATTTAGATCGAGGTAAGTTGCGTTCAGGCACACTACGTTGGGCTTGATAATTAATTGACGATGGACTCTAGGCAAGTCCCCGTGGATTGGCCTCGTCTTGTGCAAAGACAAGGACAGGGAAAGCAAAGACCAACCTTGGGTCTGCAATCACCCGGACACCTGCGGCAAAAACTGTCCCCTCGAGCCGGGCAACGCCGACGCTACAATGTCCGTTTGGCCTTTTACGATGATCCATCTGCCGCGTCTGACCAGCCAATGCGCAGACCTCGGCAAACTGGTCACTGCGACTTTCGCCCCCGATCCGATTCCCAGCAAGGGATCCGTACCCGACGAAGCGACCGACATAGGCTCTAAGCCTCAAGCAACTAGAGTTCCTATCAAAGGCTCCGATGATGGTGGTTTGAGCACAGGCGCCATTGCAGGTATTGCAGTCGGGGCAGCGGTGGGCGTTATTGCCATTCTGGTAGGCGTCTTCTTCATGTGGCGGCGACGCCGTGCGCAGAAGACCCAGACCCCGGCACCGGCCCCAGCACCAGCGCAGTATCCCCAGTCCTCTCTGGCTCCTCAATATCACTCACCGGGAATGCCGTCTTCACCTGAGCCGTATCCTGGTTACGACAAGCACAACATCGTGTATCCCAACTCGCCCTCGACTTTCTCGGACGGGACGGGCATCCAGCGGCCTGTGTCAGACATGAGCATGAGTACCGTCTCTCCGACGCCCATGGGGTCTCCACGGCCTCATCCTTCGCAGTATTATCAGCAGGGAGCCCACCCGTCTCAGAGACCTTATGGACATGGTGCGCACGCAGAGCTCTCGCATGACGCAAGAGCGGTGTACGAGATGCCCGAGATTCGGGAGAAGCCTGACAGATCTGAGCTACCGTGAAGGGAGTCATTCGAAGAGTGATAACGCAAAGCGGCGGTAGGAAGTAATGTCTAGGCTTTGTTTTCGGGTGGTTTCTCGGGGGATGTTGCTTCTTTTTTTGGGTGGGACATTTTAATCAGACGAGTGTCGTCGTTTTCTTACCTCTACGAAGATGGTCGGATGTCCCACATTCATGGGCGTACAATGTTGACAGGCCACTTTAAACAAATAAAACCTGAAAATCCTTTGGAAATATACTGCTTTCTTCAAAATTACCGAATGTGTTTTATGAGAGGGCGATATGCTTACTCTTCGCAGTAACATGCCCACTAATTCGGTTTGACTGGCTCGCGGTATCTCAAAGCGAGGGGCGCAGCAGCATTTCCGCCAATGCATCTGCTATCCGCATCGCGGAGTATGCAGGCAGGCAATGGAAAGTAACAAATCAGCAATGATTAACACAACGATGCCCCGCGTTCCTCTCCGGAATACCCCAACTTTGAGGAAAGATCATTCCCCGGCCTTGATCGCCCGGTTAAATTCTGCGGGGTTGGCCTGCGCATGTGGAGGGAATCATGGTAGTACTCAGAAGGGAGCCAGTGCTTGAGGCCGTTGGGGTTGAATTCATAGGCAAGTGAGGAGCCATCGGATTCCACTGCTGCAAGTGCAAATAGCAAAGGTCAGAAGAGACGTCTCCTTTGAGTGTGATTGAAAGTGGATGCTAGTGGTAACTCACTTTAAGCTTATAAGTAATTGGAGACCAATATCTCTCGCTTATTACCATGTAATAATGTTTGTTCAGACTTCATCTGCTTCGTTCAGTCAAAATGCACTTCTCAAACCTAGTCCTAATCCTTGTGGCAGCCGTCGCATCGGCATCAGGGTATGATGTGGCGCCTCGGCCGAGCATCGTCCCGTTTCCAAAGGCTCCCGGCCGAGCGTTGCCCGTCAGCCCAGCAAGAGACCCCTCCAAAGTCTGCATCGTCTGCCCCAAGTCTGGAGGCGACGCAGCTGCTGCGATTCTCAAAGCCGCGCACGACTGCAACGATGGCGGCACCGTCGTCTTCATGCCCAATGCGACGTACACCATATCCAGCCGTGTCGACTTGACGTTCTTGAAGCACATCGACTTCGCGATCCTCGGAACCATTGTCTTCAATGCCGACGTTGAGTACTGGCAAACGAACACGTTTGCGTACCGTTACCAGAATGTGAACCTCATGTGGCGGTTTGGCGGTGAAGATGTCAACATCTATGGGCTTGGACAGGGAACTATCGACGGTAAGGAGGAGATTCAATGCAGATATGAATCCCGCAGCTAAGGAGTAGCAGGTCTCGGACAAACATGGTGGAATGCTCTTGCTGGCAACTCAACCGTCGTCAGACCTCTGCTCCTCGGTACAGACGGCCTCAACGGCGGGTCGATCACCGGTCTCAAGATGATCAACTCTCCCAACTGGTTCAACATCATTGCTAACTCTTCCGACATCTTGATTTCCGACATGAACCTCTCGGTTGTCGTAACAAATGTTACATCTCCCGCAAAGGTTGGCCTTTCTTCCTCCGGCGGAAAAGGGGCACCGTCCGCTAATGCTATTTCCAGAACACCGACGGTTGGGATACTTATCGCAGTGATAACATTGTCATTCAGAACTCTATAATCGACAATACCGATGGTAAGTGCCTAGCAACCCGGTCGAATTTCTAACCTAACGTTTTGTAGACTGTGTATCGTTCAAACCCAACTCCACCGAGGTCCTTGTGCAGGGTCTGGTTTGTAATGGGTCACATGGCATCTCCGTCGGCAGCCTCGGTCAGTATCAAGGGCAAGTCGACATCATTGAGGATCTATACATCTACAACATCTCCATGTCAAACGCGTCGGATGGTGCCCGCATCAAGATCTGGCCCGGCGTCCCGCCTAATACCACTGGGTCTGAGGCAGGAGGCGGCCTTGGCCATGTCAGGAACGTCACTTACGAGAAATACCACAATGTCAACAACGATTGTGAGTACATCTTGCTGCTATGGAAAGCATGAAACCCATATTAACGATTGTAACAGGGGCTATTCAACTGACCCAGTGTTATTTTGCCGCAAGCGACGAAGCCTGCCAACAGTACCCAGTGAGCGAACAGAATTGCCCTGCTGGTGGGATCGATGTGCTAACGATAGTTTGAGGCCACTCTTGTCATTGAAGATATATTGTTCAAAGACTTCACGGGGACCACATCGAAGAAGAACGATCCCCGGGTGGGCTCGCTCATCTGCAGTGACCCATCAGTAAGTGCCCCTACATGATTGGTGGCAGAACAAATCTAACCGTGTGAAGGTTTGCAAGAATATCCAGGCTCACAACATCAACGTCTCACCTCCAAGCGGCAAGGGCCCGAAGTGGACGTGCACCAACATGGATAACTCACTTCTGGACATTGATTGCATCCGAAGCCCCGTTGCATAACAGCATAGAATCTCAAACATCGCGTAGAGATGATTTTAATGAGTTGCAACCTGCATTCACCCGCCTACGTGTTTCCCATCTTCTACATTTTGCAGTGACAAGGCTCTCTCGGAATTCGGCTTCCATCTCACCATCCATCTCGGTGCAATGTTCGTTGGTAGCTGAGACCAAGCCGGATCAGCCTGTACGCCAAGAAAATGGCTGCATGTGCTGAGCCAGAGCGAAATGACCGCCAAGCCTCTTGGCCAGCTCGGGGAAGCTTGTTTGTCAATCACAAGCAGAGGAGGAAGAGCCTTCTCTTGCGCTTGCCCAAAACTCCGTATTGAAGATCTGTGTTTTTCACCTTCACTGATGATGGTCGTTGAGTGGATCCATAAAGGTGAAAGCGACGGAGGCTTCTGGGTCATGTTGTGTTGTCTAAACTTCGACGTAAACCGACTGGTGATTAAACAGAAGCACACGATTCTCTTGAATAATAATTTCTGTCGCATGTAAAGTGTGAAAAGCTCGACGTCGTACTCGGCAGGGGCAGATCATAGCTTTGAAGTTGGAGGAGGCAGGTGGAAGCAGCCAAGACGGTTAAATTGGCGGCCGAAAGATTAGAGGCTTTTCTCCAGCATCACTACCAAACCAGAGGAAACTTGCAGAAACATCTCCATTTTGAAAAGCAAAATGGATGATTGTTGTCTAGCTACTGGGAGCCTGTAACGATGAGGCTGCTGACGCGTGTGCCCGGTCCCCCTCGTCTTGGTATCTGGCGTTTTTCTGGTTGGAGGAATTTCTCCCCCGAACTCGGGCGAAGTGCAGCTGCCTTGTCACCTTTTATCGTGCGATGGATCGAACGAAAAAAGTCGATTGGGGCGCCAACATCCCAGACGCGCCCTACTTACTCCCAAATGCGGCGTTGAGTAGGCACGTATCCATGCGCCCGCAGATGCCCAAGAGCCAACGTGATTCATCACCTCTGGGCCTTGCACTACCCCAGAACCCCAGACTGTGCCGCAATAGGGTGGGGAGTAAACACTCCACGGGGAAGGATCTGGGGTTGGTATAATATCCCCAGACGCCTCGCCGGTCACGGACGGGGCTGGTGTCCCCATCTCTCGATCTAACTTTCACTGACTCTCTCATCTAGCTAATTGACTACGATTGAAGACGTCAAGATGGCGATGTCAGGGAGAGTTTACAGTTGGTAGGTTCAATGTCGCAGCTGCGATCCGATAGCGTAGGCTGATATATGTGCTGCAGGTACTCCGCCCTTTTGGCGGCGATGTGTATGGTGCTCTACGGCTTTGACGCCTCCGTGTTCAATTCCGTGCAGGCATCAGACAATTGGCTGGCTTACTTCGATCTCGATAAGGTACACATCCTAGGATAACGATGATATGCATGATGACTAGAGGCTGAGACACAGTTTAGGACGGAGACACGCAGCTCATTGGACTCATCAATACGGCATACACTATTGGAGCTATCGTAGCTGGTTTCTTCATTGGCGGGCCTCTGGTAAGAACACAACACACTTGAAGGTAACTCTCAAAGCACGTCTGACACCTTTGACAGGCCGACTTTGCTGGACGCCGGGTTGGAATGGGTGCCGGCTGCCTCGTCACCATCATCGCCGCGTTTATGCAAGCTTTTGCGCCACGACATAACCTTGGAGTCTTCATCGCCGGACGTGTCATCATTGGTCTTGGGCAGGGGATGGCCTTGAGTGAGTTGTCACGACTCGACTTTGCTGTTCGAGAAATCCTGCTGATCGCGAGTAGCGGCTGGTCCTGTGTACATCAACGAGATTACTCCGGCTGAGATCAGAGGTGTTGTCATGACATTTTGGCAGCTGAACTTCAGCGTTGGGTAAGGAGGACTCCATCGTCAAGAATGAATCATAACAGGAAGGCTGATTATTTGCAGATCGTTCATTGCATATTGGATCAATTACGCGTGCTCTCTCCGCAGGGAGGAACTTGGAGACTGGGATTGGCGAATGGTCGTCCTCTTCCAAATCCTTGTCCCGACTATTGTTTGCACCCTTCTGTGGACAATCCCTGAGTCCCCCAGATGGTACATCCAGAAGAATAAGCCCGAGAAAGCCCACAAGGCCATCTGCTCTCTCCGAAACAGCCAAGAAGAAGCTGAGCAGGAGCTCCTCACTATCAGAGAGGCTATTGAATACGAGAAGGAGGCTATCAGCACGAACTACACCGCCCTCTTCAAGGACCCTTCCGTCCGAAAACGCCTGTTCTTGACTATGATCCTCAACGTTGGACAGCAACTTACAGGCCAAGGTACCCTCCCCACCCTCTCACCTACTGCCCTATTCCTGACATGAATCTTCCCAGGCACCCTCAACAACTACTCTACCGCAATCTACCGGAAGGTTTGGCCCGATACCAGAACAATCAACCTCATCAACGCACTCAATGGAACTTTCGGTATCCTATTCACACTTAATGCGATGTGGACTGCAGATCGGTATGGCCGCCGATGGCTGTTCATGGTTGGTGCCATCGGTATGGGTCTGTGCATGCTGTTGGTTCCAGTTGTCAGCTTGGCTACC